TACCGCTGCTCCGGGCTGCGCGGGCGGCCCCCGCCTGCCAGAAGCCTCCCCGGGGATGCTGCGGGCGGCGGCTCCTCCCCGGCCCTCCGCGGCGCCCCGGCCGCCTTCCTGTTCCGGCGGGGATGGAGCCGCTCCCGGCCCGCGCCCGGGACGGAGCCGGCCCGCCCAGGAGCGGCTCCGCGGGGCTGGAGCCCGCACCAGCGGGACGGAAATGAACCACGAGCCTCGCACCGCAGCCCTGCCTTCGCCCCTAAAGACAGGTCTTGAAACGCTCGTTCCAAGGAGAGCTGCGTCTCCTTTATTGCTACAGCAGCAGTTAGCCGTGGAGCTGATAAGGGCTATCTGACAAAGAGAAGAAGGTAGTTGCAAAAGATGTAACTGTTCCCAAACCAAACTTCTCCCTCAACACTAAGTTTTCTAGCCCGGAGCACATGAATAGCTGTGGTATTGTAAGCCCCGCCGAGCACTTTTCCCTTATCCAGGCGTGTCTGGTATCCAGCTGGCTAATTAAAGTGGGAGGATGTGGTTACAAGTGGACTTATGCAGATCCATCACCACAGTCTTAAACAGGTAATAATCTGCCAGCAAAATGTATAAAGCAAATTAACACAGGCATTAAAAAGACTTCTGATTCCCTCGAAGGCAATGCAGTTTGGAGTGGATGTGGTCATCAGCACTTGGACACAGACCTGCTACTCAGTGACATCTCTCTCCGGGATTGCCAGCTGATTAGACTTGGAGGAGCTTATGTAAGCATAACATCAGGATTAACATGCCAGTTAGATCAAATAGTTATCTAACTGGCTAACTCAAACAGTGAGCTGCTAATCTCATGTGTACCTGAGAATTTTATGTACTTGGTTGGTGTGAGAAGTATGGTAGATCCATAGTCAGAAACCTGAATGATCACACAATTGCAGTCTATTCCAAGGCAAAATTCTTTTTTGAGGTGCTCTAGACTAAGTATGAATAATCCTTTAATATCTGAAATATATATATGTATTCTTCTGGTTGCTTACCACTGTATATAATTAATCAGGGACCATCTGAATTCAGATATATTAAAAAACCCCCATTGAGACACCAAATAAACCAGCTCTTCCTGTTGTTAAATCTACTGGCCTAAAGCTTTTGCAGATCACTGAGCCCAGCTATGTTACTGCAGTCAACCATGTCATACAATCCTGCATGTAAATACATTACACTGTTTCTAGAACTAGACAGGTCATTACTCACTCCTTTCCAGTCTAAAATCTTGCACATCTGACAGATAATAACTTAAATTTGGTTCCTAGAATACATTTATTAACATTGGCCTTTTTCTTATATCAGTCTTGTTTTTTTACTGAAGTAATGCCTCATTTACTCTTTTACTTCCCTGCTCTTTTGCCAAAAAGCAGTGTTAGCCCTAATGTCAATATTTTGAAGTATTTAATGCCATACAGCATCTTCATCATTTTTTTACACTCAGTGTTCAGACTGCATGAAAGATTTTAGTTTTTCACTCCACACCTAATTTACTGAAGAAGAAAAAAACCCAACCCCAACCTTCCCCCAAACCAAACCCTTACAAAAACCAGTCTTTTAACTAAGACCGCACAGCCAATATATTTAGGACTGAAATATACCTGTTTAGCTTAGGAGACACACCTGGAACACCACAAGGAGCACATTCACAGAATGCTTTTGACCCCCCGAATATGTAACATGTCACAGTATCAGAGTCATGATAAAGCTGCCAAATGTTCTGCCAGTTTCTGTTTGACTTTTCCAAATGACTAGAAGACCCATGAAGAGGAAAGAAGTGCCACCAGTTCCTGTGGCTGACACCAACCTCAGCCCAGCAGCCAAAGTGCCCCACTCAGCAGAAAGCTGGTGGTCAGAGGGGAAGCCTGACACAGAGCAGGGACACACTGTGGTGACTTCTGCAAGGCACAACTGAGAATATCAAACTGCTTACCAGCTTCCAGCTGACAGCCAAAAGATCAAACTCCTGAGGAAGCTTTTCATGCTGTCATAAAAAAGGTAATTTATGCAGTTTCTAGCTGAACAGTTTTGTTCTCACTCTATTCTTTACAATATTCATATTCAAGCTAGCTATTCTCTGGGACAGCTGATGTTGATAGATAAGCTACCTGAAACTAAAGGCAAAATGGTAATTTTCCTTTTTTGTGTGTGATGACTTGTTTCTAGTTACAGAATAGTTTCTTTTTTTGCCTAATTAAATACAGATTTACAATTGATAATTGATGTGTCAAAAGGCCTGTTATGACAATCCTGGGTTAAAAGAAACAGAGAGACAAGACAGTGCCTGGTAAACATGATGGTGTTCAAGAAGCTCTATGAGAAAGGGTCTGCCAGCACCCAAACATGTTCAAGCCCTTTGTAGTCCAAATGACCAGACCTTCTATCACATCAGAGCAGCAACACTGCCCAGCTGCTGTGGGACTGAGCAGTGGCAAAACTGTCACACCAGACTGACTACTGAGCTGAGGCAGGATTATGTAGTCTTGCTCTCCTACTCATGTAAAATACTGTGTTAAGCATCACAGTTAGTCCCAGGTTTGCAATATTAACTCTGACTTTAAAAATAGACAATATAATTTGTAAAAGTGCATACAGTGATTCTCATTCAACAAGATCTCAAACAGAACTCTACTTCCAGTCTGACATTCCAAAACAGTTGAGTAAGTCTATCAGCTGAGGTTTCCTCATCCTTCCTTTTTGTTCATCAGCATTACAAGACTGTTCTGTTCATTCTCTTGTCCCAGAAAATGTCCTGTCCCAGAAACATTATCATTGTGTCTCTACCCTCTTTCTGTACTTCCCTTACTGAGGAATAAAAAGCAGATAGAAGTGGTATCAAAAATCAGGATCAAAGTGCCTCTGTCAGCCTCTCTGTGATTCTAATACCCTGCTGGACAAAACCTCTGAAGCTACTGCTAAAATCAGATCAATAAATAATACTACTTTTTAAGTTTATTTGTGCTGTATAGACTGTGACTAAAACTCCAAGCTGAAGATACTGATTTATAGCATAAAATAGGAAGTTAGCTCCTTCCTCATTACTTCACTCTCAAGTTCTTGACTTAAAAAGATTTTGTTTTAAAGAAAAAATTTCATACTTTGCCAAATGGAAATAAAAGAGGAGGTATACTAATCTTCTGAGATTCCTTTGAGGTTTCAGAAGATAACTTTTCCAAAATCAGCAAAGCTAACTGTTTTTTTTTTTTTTAAAATGTGAGTGGATTTCAAACATAGGAATCTTACTAATTTTTGACTGAGACAAGTATCTTCCCCACACGTACTTAGCAACTTGCCTATTTTAACACTTAATAGAAGTGCTTTTGCAAGCCAAAAAAAGCTGATGATAATCACATATTACTTGCATTACTAGTTACACTGACAGTTAATAAAAGCCTTTTCCTTCAATAAAGTGCTTTTCTCTTTTAAGGAACAAGACTTGCCTAACTAAGACTGTTTTATCATTAGAGACTAAATGTAAAGGCTGTGTTTCAACTCACCCTATCCTAGTTTTAGTCCTGCTTCCATTACAACTTTAATTTGAAAAAAAGAAGACCCTCAAACCAACCAACCACAACAAAAAAACCCCAACCAAAAAACCCACATCCCCAAAAAAAAAACAAACCCAGAAAGCAAACATCAAACCAAAAAACCCAGAAAACAGAACAAAGAAAACATTCTAAGCCAGTCCAAAACAACCAAGCCTAACTGTTAAATCAGATTAACTGACAGCATTTAAGTTTTTCTTCATGAACAGTAGGTAGAGCATTAGATGTCTCAGGTACCCATTGGCCAAAAGACAGATCAGATCTAGGAACAGCATTTGAAAATGGAGGGAACTTTGTAGCCATCAGTTCATTCTTAATACAGGTATTATTTTCTAGTTTGTCTTTCAGATTGAAATTGAAAAGTTAATTTAAAAGGGAATTTTATTTTCCTAACAGTTTTCCATGGAAACATTACAAATTTGTTGAATGCGTAACAACTATCACTGAATTTACCAAATATTAAGTGAATACCTGACCAGTAAGCCTAGTTCAGATTAGCACCCATCAGTAACTGTGATGCTTTTTGTCCTATTGCAATGTTTCTTTGCAAATACAATATAAAAAGAAAATGTTAGAAGTATTTACTGGCTCTCTTTAAAGAGCAGATGCTTTTCAAAGTAATGCTGGGCAGTTATCAGTGATTAGACATACATAATCAATTAAGTGGAAGAAAGTTAAGGATATCACTGTTCCCTTCAGCCAAACAGTTTTGAATACAATATGGAATTCTAATTTATCACCCTAGATTATTAAGAACTTCAGAGCTGTGCTCAATTCAAAACTTACTGAAAAGATGAATGGATGCACAGCTTTAACTAAGGACTTCTACTTAAGAGCTGATACCATTACTCAATACACAATTTAGCATGACCTGATGCTACAGACTAATTCAAATGTTACTGTTTAAATTATATTATCATTATGAGAGCTGCCTGCAACTATTCAACATTAAAAGATCATAGAATGTCCTACCAG